CCTTCAAATTACAGGAGAGGGACAGTCTTGGTGGCTTAGTGGAGTGTAGTTGTATACACCTAATGCACATTTATAATTGTGTCATCACTCACCAGCCTTCAGTGTGGTGAGGCTGGGGTAAGGTTTGCGTGTACACAGTGAGAAAACCTTGAGCAGGAAAGGATTTGGCTGCCTGTGCTGCTTTATTTGTGCCCTCAGTTACCTGGTGCAGGGCTGCAGTAGGGAATACACCTTAGGCAGGTGAGCTTTAAGGTCCTGTCATCCCAAGCCTGTCTGGGGCTCTGATTCTGTGCACTGGTGTGATGGCGTAGTTGTCACAGTGACACAGGACAGAACATACCAGAACTGCCAGAGTCCCTCAGGAACGCTCTGGTTTTCACACAAGGCTCCTGAACCAGTCCCAAACAAATCTCTCCGGTCTGTGGGCTTTGTTACCACTCCCTGCTGGCTGGGGCTCAGCTCTGATAAAAATAAAATTGAATGTACGCTGTGTGCACTCTGGGGGAGGATCCTGTGAGCGCCAACGGAAACATTGTCTGTTCGGATGTGAAGAAATACAGCATTTGCTACTAAGGAGTGAAAATAGAATTCTCCCAAATTACACAAAAAGAAGGAATTATAAACCAAATGGCATCACTGTTGGGCTTAACGTGGTGTGGGATAGACTTCCTCAAAGTGTCTTTGCACACTCAGTGTCCTCAGCAGTGTGGCTCCCAGGACTGAGGGGTTCCTTGGAGGATTCAGTGTTAACTTGGTGAAAGCACTTGGGCCAGTGTTTTGGGAAAAGCTGGGTTGGCTGCCCTCAGTAAGAATGAAATTGTCCCCATATTACAGCAGGTGAAAGCAGCAAATAAGGATGGTTATTTCAGGTTTCTTTGCTGTTTTCCAGAAGTACCACCCACGGGGGGCTCAGCATGCTCCATCAGCCGGCTCAGGGAGGTTTCTCCCAGTGGCTGAGCTGTGCCTGCCTCTGTTGGTGCAGCAGGTGACAGCTGGCACCACGCAGGGCACAAGTGCTGAAAGCCAGCCCTGCAGCAGCACAGCCCTGCAGGCAGGGCACGGCGAGCATCCCTTCCCGGGGAATGCCGCAGTTACCTCCTCACTGTGGTGCCTGCACTTAGGAGATTAGGGGGTCTTCAGGGGTGTACTCCCCTGTGGAGAAGGATGCCAAAGTAATTTGGCCTGGCCACTCTGTTGTTAGAAAATAACTTTTTGGCTGAAGTATTTGGAGAGCCCCAAAGGATCGCCAAGGGATCACCTGTGGTAGCAAGGTGGGATCGTGGTTCTGTTTGGCCTTGGAGCCCCAGTGGCTGCTGTGCAGGATGGGGATGGCTGTGGTGGGTAACCCAGGGCCTCTCTGGCAGCTGGGGTTCTCTTGCCTGTGATCACACCCCTCGGGTTTTGTGGAGTGGGGTCATTGAACAGACACCCTGGGAGGGGGCAGTGGGGGTTTTACACGTCTGGGCTGGAGGAGTGAAAGCTTGGGGGTGCTTTTCTGTGGTGTTGGGGGGATCTCTCTTCTGGGGAGAGTGGCAGTTGACTGCAGGGTCAGAAAGGCTGAGATGCAAAACCTTGTCTGTGCTTTATCCTTCCCTTTCCCTACAGAGTGTTAAAGAGCATCACTGTGGTCTGGAGCTCCTTCCAAGGGGCAGCTCCCATCTCTGCTCTCTGTGAGCAGGGACAGGACCTGAGGAAGGGCTGGGGCTGTGTTGGGAGGGCTCTGGGCTGGAGATCAGGAAGAGGTGCTTCCCTTTTGGGTGAAGGGTGCTGGCACTGCCCAGGCTCCCCAGGGATGGGCACAGCCCCGAGGCTGCCAGAGCTCCAGGAGGGTTTGGACAGCTCTGCCAGGGACAGGGTGGGACTGCTGGGGTCTGTGCAGGGCAGGGAGTTGGACTGGCTGATCCAGGATATTCTGCACTCTGTTCAAGTGCAGGATTTCAATGCCATTATCTAGGCAGAATACACACATGCCAGTTGGCAGCCTGGAAAAAAGGCAAAGCCCAGCTGTTCCTGAGTATAGAACCACTATCCTGTGACCCCGTCTCTCCTCAGCTGTTGCACTGTTGTTCTCCACAGATGAGAAATTCCCAAGGTAGGAAGTCACTCTTTACTCCTTTCAAATCCAGACCTCTCCAGATCTCTGCTGTTTATGCCATGAAATACTCGAGGACTCCACGCTGTAGGTCACATCAATCTGAAGCCAGTGTGTTTTTCTAGGCGTGTAGTTAATCAGGAACTGGTTATTTCCCAGTCCTCTGCCTGCAAATGCATTCCATGGGCACTCAGTTGCTTTTGGACAGCTGAGCAGTGAGTAATAGCACGGGGGTTCTTGCGTCAGAATAACGATGAGGGGAAATGGATGAGAGGTTCGGAGAAAGGAGGAAAATGTTGTTTTGAGCACAGTGGTCCAAATCCTGGCATGTGCTGAGAGTGTCCTGAGCTCAGTCTGACTTTAGAGCATTGGGAGGCTCAACAAAACGCCAAGCAGCCTTTGGATTTGGGGCTTGCTAAACAATTGCTACTTGGAAGTTTGGTTTGATAGAAGCTACCCATTTCCACGTTATTTATTCTGCTGATTGGCTTCTCTGGATTGCTCTTGCTCTGGACAAATAAGTGACAAATCTGGGAAGAGGCAAACTCGCCAAATTTAAACAGTCAGGGCTCCATAGACCAAAGCTAATATTGGCTGAAGCGGGGTCGTGCTGAATGTGATGAATCCCCACACCAGGGCACCACAGACAGCGGGGTTTGTGTCGGTGCCACAGGGGCACTGCTGGCAGGAGCGGACTGGGGGGCCCAGGGTCCTGCTGCAAGGGGGGAACAAACCCCCTTGTGCTGGTGGCACGGCAGGGTTTGGGGTTTGGGGCCCTGTCTGAGGGGTGCTGCTGCGTAGCCTGGGACAGCTGAGTCCTGCAGCGTGGGTCAGGCTGGCCCCAGTTCAGCACCAGTACAGGGGCATGTCTCAGAGCAATGAGCTCCTGAGAGCCCCTGGCTTCAGGCTGGGGGAGCATCTCCTGGATTACAGAATCACTGCAGCACTCAGGTTGGGAGAGCTCTCCAAGAGCATCGAGCCCAAGCTGTGAGCTCACCTCACCAACCAGCCCAGAGCGCTGAGTGCCACTCCAGCCATTCCCTGAGCACCAGGTTCCTCTGGAATCCCTGTTGTGATGTGGAAGCAGCTGCTGTACCACAGCCCATGCTGTCCTGTGTCCCGTTTTCACCGGGTTCCTCTGGAATCCCTGTGTGATGTGGAAGCAGCTGCTGTACCACAGCCCGTGCTGTCCTTTGTCCCTTTTTCACCGGGTTCCTCTGGAATCCCTGTTGTGATGTGGAAGCAGCTGCTGTACCACAGCTCGTGCTGTCATTTGTCCCGTTTTCACCCAGTGCTCCCTCTGCACACGAGGTGCACCTTCTCTCAACCCTGCCTGGAAGTGGGCAGCTCTGAGGTGAACCCCATAAGGTCATTGATCCCTCCTGCCACGGCAGCAGCAGCAGGCCCTGCATTTACTGAAAGCTTTGCCTGCCAGCTCTGACCGAGGGTTGTTCCCTCTCGTGCATCTCCTGTGATGGAGCATCCCCAACTTTTCCTGACGTCTCGCTCAGTTGTTGTGCTGCTCTCCGTTGCTGCGGCAGGTCCCGGGCGTTGTTTGCTGAGTGGAATTGGAGTTACTGTTTGTTTCTTCATCGGTGCTTTATCATGCTGCCGTTTCTGCACACTTTGTGTAACTTTTTTCTCGCAGCTGAAGACGGATGGCACCGCACAGCCCGGGCTGGGTTAGGATGGGGGTTTGGGGAGGGGAGGCGGTGCTTGCAAGCCCATTGATCCCATCTTTATAACTTTGCCCTTTTAGCTGGGAACAGATGATTTGCACGGGGGCTGGAGATTTGCGCAGGCAGAATCCGAAGGACCAAACTTTACATAAACCATTTATACTAAATGCTGGGAATGCTGGCAACATAAATCACCTACAGTATCTATTATAGATTTATCACTTTATCAGTATGGTCTGTGATAGGAGTGGTCCAAACAGGTGGGCAAGTGAACCTCAGGAAGTTTAGCCTGCTCGGAAATTAATTATTCAGGACACACAGAGCCTGGCCCCTTCAATGTATAGTAATTCTTTCCAGCCAGCATCCAGGCCTCCAACTTCAGTGCAATAATAAATAGGAAAAGTCTCAGGTGAAGCCAGTATTTCAGAGTAATTAATCATCTTCCCCTCACAGTCCCTCCACCTCTCTCTTGGTTTTCTTTAACGAGGGAATTTCAGTAATAAATCTTTAATGATATGTGTTAAGAATCCTTCATTAATTCTTGTCCACTTATTTCTCTTTTTTGGGTGCTTTTATGTTGTATGTTGGGAAGTTCAAAGGAATACACAAAAAAAAGAAAAAAAACAGTTAAATTTGGCAGAGTCTCTAAAAGGATGTTTTGGATGTCGAGTGTCATGTTCACTCAGTAATCAGACTTGTTGGTTAGTACCAGTTGTCCTGCCAAAATCCGGGATGCGGGTACCGAGTTAGGGCAGGATGATAGAGGGCAGGGAGGGATGGTTTGTGTGCTGCTCAGTGCAGGCAGAGCTCCATGGGGCAGGCAGGGTCCCTGTGGGGCAGGCAGGGTCCCTGTAGGGTGGGCATGGGGCAGGCAGGGTCATTGTAGGGTGGGCATGGGGCAGGCAGGGTCCCTGTAGGGCAGGTGTGGGGCAGGCAGGGTCCCTGTAGGGTGGGCATGGGGCAGGCAGGGTCCCTGTGGGGCAGGTGTGGGGCAGGCAGGGTCCCTGTGGGGCAGGTGTGGGGCAGGCAGGGTCCCTGTAGGGCAGGCAGGGTCCCTGTAGGGCAGGTGTGGGGCACACAGAGCCCGGCAGCGAGCGGCCGTGAGCGGTGGGCGCTGTGACAGGCATGGCAGTGACAGGGACAGCGGTGACGGGGACGGCGGTGACAGATCCACCCTGACACGCTGCCCGAGCTGCGGGTGACGGCTGTCCTTCCTCCCCTGCCCGCAGGCCAGCACAACGACGCCCGCATGAACCTGGCCATCGCCCTGACCGCCGCCCGCTACGGCGCGGCCACCGCCAACTACACCGAGGTGCTGCGGCTGCTCAAGGGCCCCGAGAGCGGCCGCGTCTGCGGCGTGCGCTGCAGGGACGTGCTCACCGGTGAGTGGGGTCTGGGGTGTGTGGGGTGTGTGGGGTTTGGGGGATGTGTGGGGTTTGGGGGATGTATGGGGTTTGGGGTCTGCGGCGTGCGCTGCAGGGACGTGCTCACCGGTGAGTGGGGTGTGGGTCTGTGTGGGGTTTGGGGTCTGTATCGGGTTTGGGGGGTCTGGGGGATGTATGGGGTTTGGCGTCTGCGGCGTGCGCTGCAGGGACGTGCTCACCGGTGAGTGGGGTGTGGGTGTGTGGGGTGTGTGGGGTTTGGGGGATATATGGGGTTTGGGGTCTGCAGCGTGCACTGCAGGGATGTGCTCACAGGTAAGTGGGGTCTGTGGGGTGTGCAGGGTCCCACTGCAGGGATGTGCTCACAGGTGAGTGGGGTGTGCAGGGTCCCACTGCAGGGATGTGCTCACAGGTGAGTGGGGTGTGCAGGGTCCCACTGCAGGGATGTGCTCACAGGTGAGTGGGGTCTGTGGGGTGTGCAGGGTCCCACCGCAGGGATGTGCTCACAGGTGAGTGGGGTGTGCAGGGTCCCACTGCAGGGATGTGCTCACAGGTGAGTGGGGTCTGTGGGGTGTGCAGGGTCCCACCGCAGGGATGTGCTCACAGGTGAGTGGGGTGTGCAGGGTCCCACAGCAGGGATGTGCTCACAGGTGAGTGGGGTGTGGGTCTGTGTGGGGTGTGTGGGGTTTGGGGTCTGTGTGGGGTTTGGGGTCTGTGTGGGGTTTGGGGTCTGTGTGGGATTTGGGGGATGTATGGGGTTTGGGGTCTGTATGGGGTTTGGGGGGTGTATGGGGTTTGGGGTCTGCGGCGTGCGCTGCAGGGACGTGCTCACAGGTGAGTGGGGTGTGCAGGGTCCCACTGCAGGGACGTGCTCACAGGTGAGTGGGGTGTGTAGGGTCCCACTGCAGGGATGTGCTCACAGGTGAGTGGGGTGTGTGGGGTGCTCTGCAGGGGACAGTGACACCCTGGGATATCACAGGAGGGAGGAGCAGGGCCGCTGCCATCTGCAAACAGCCCTGAACCAGCACAGGAGCCATCTTTCTGGGCCGTGCCATTAGCGTCACTCAGCTTCCACTTCTGTCACATTTCTCACTCAAACCCCAGTGTTTTGGCAGGCCAGACTGAGCTTTGCATCCCAGCCCTTCTGTCAAGCAGAGATGACATTGTAAAGGGCTCTGTGCTGTACAGTAGTAATCCCATTTACCGAGTCTGCGGGCTGAGACTGAAATCTCTCTTCTTGAGAGGCAGATTTCAGCTGAGCAACTTCCACCCCGCCCGCCTCTCTCTGCCCTTGCAGATAAGCTGGAATTGCATTGTAAAACATTTTCTCTCAGATCTGGTGTTGGGTGAACACTTAGTTGATTTTCAGAACCCATCCCAGCTGTTGTGTTAGACACGCGGGGTACACTCCACGGTAGGTTGAGTTCATAGGGAGATGAATAACAAAGAGCATCAGTGAGCAGAAACAAACGGTGCATGTGATTGATTCTGTTGTCTTTCACAGGCAAGGAGTTCGATGTCAGAGCCAAGTGTGTTATCAATGCCACGGGACCTTTCACAGACTCGGTCCGCAAAATGGATGATCAGGAGGTGCCCAACATCTGCCAGCCCAGCGCCGGCGTGCACATCGTGATGCCCGGGTACTACAGGTGAGCAGGGGGGCTGCTGCCCGCCTGGCACAGCTTCTGATCTCTGCTGCTGCTGCTGCTGTGTGTGAGCCAGCTGCGAGAGGCGCCCCGCGGGCTATGCCACAGCTCTGAGCGCACAGTTTGAGTCTGATTTTTGTTTGTGTGCTTTAAAGAGGATCCTGGCGCTGTGCCGACGAGGAGAACAATTTCATCTATTCACAACAGACTGAAGCCGTGTAGTTTTTAGTTAGAGCTCCCCAAGGCAGGGCTGCTGCTGAAGCAGAAGGCGTTTAGGCAGCACATGCCCAGGTGTGAAAGCACCTGTTTCAGTGATGCCTTTGAGCTGAGTGTGCTGCTGCTTGGTCACCCCCTCAGGGAGCCAAGGGCCGTGTAAAACCTTCCAGAGAGATTGCACCTTCCTACAGGGTCACTTGTCCTGTTAAATCATGGAATCACAGCGTGGTCTGGCTTGGAAGGGACGTTAAAGATCATCCTGTTCCAGTGCCTGCCTTCACACATGAAACTCCCTGTACAGTTTCTCTGCCGGGATGCGGCTCTGCTCAGAGGAAACAGGAGTGCAAAGCACAGAATGAGTGAGGATGGGCAGGGTAATCAGTAATAATAATTACTGTCGCAGGCAGTGGAAGTAGCTCAGAGTAGCACAGCCACATTGCTGTGGCCCCAGGCCCAGCGCCCACCCGTGGGGATTTTGGTGGGTAGGACGTGCCCTCCGTGTTCCAGGAGAGGCTCCCATGGCACTCTGCTCCCTGCAGCCCCCTGCTCCTCTCCCTGTTTGCTGTGCAAAGCCAAATCCCCTTCTCCGAGCCAGCCTTGTCAGTCGGAACTCAAATATTACCTTTGGTTCCTGAAGTCATTAGCATCCTAATGGAAATTCCCCTTTATGGACTTAGCCCAGTTGTGTTGATACAGTGCCCTTGCAGTAATGCCTTGCACAGCCCCGCTCAGAGTGGGAATTCAGCCTTCCAGTGCACCAGGGGGTGTTTCTGCGGAGCTGTCCCAACAGGACACCACCACACACTGTAAAATTGAGGCATTTTTGGCCTGGTGTAAAATCACCCCTGCATTCTCTTCTGGTTTTTTGGGTTTTTTTTCATTTTTGTATCTTTCTCCATGAAAAATGGTAAAATGACCTGATAGCTGCTTTAAAGTACTAAAAATGTGGAGAAATGGGCTGTAATCCCAGTTTCCTCATATGCCAGGAGAAGGATGTGTGTGATTAGCTTTATGGCCCTACACAAAAACATGGAAAGCCTTAGAACCTGGGCTCACTTAGCAAATTCAAAGTAGAAGATGGCTGGATACTCTTGAGAGCTCTGATTTATTTATTCTCTAATAACCCAATAATTTTAATTGGAAATGTGGAGAATTCTTGTTCTCCATGTTCCCCGGTGTATGCCAGCATGTGGGCATTACTTTCCTTGGAAAATAGTATCTGCCCACACACTGCCTCCACAGCACAGCTGATAAGATAACACTGCTCTGAATTTCCTTGGAGTGGGATAGCTGAAAGCAGGGAGCTGTCTGCTAAACAGAAAACACTGGTGGGATTTAATCGTGGTTGTATCAGGCCTTCCTTCTCGTGGTGCCAAGGAACACTGCTCAGCACAGGAAGGCTGGCATTTCACCGTGTCCACGTGTGCCCTGTGAATGTGTTACAGGATTTTGGCCCACAGTCACACAAATGATTTTTTTTTTAACATACAGAGGGTTTTAGTTATAAATATAGTCAAGATTTTGTAAAACTAATGTTAACCTAATGCATTCACTCCCCATGGGTTTCTTACTCATTGATGTCCTTCATTACTAGTCCCAGAATTCCTCCCCTCATTAATTAGGCTTCCTGCCTGGAATGTGTCTGTGGAGGCAAGGCTTTTTCCTCTCCCTTCTGACCAATTTCAGATCTTTCTGTCTTTCTGGAATTTTCCTCTCTGCCATGCATTCCACATTCCAGGTCAACCTGCCTGCTGCACCTCACTTCTTCTCTATGGAAAGTCACATTTTATCATTTTTAACTGCATTTGTGGTGCTTTGGTCAAATGCTTCTTCAGCTGGAGATCTTCCAAGGTTCCAAGACCTTCCATGGATCTCCCAGACCTTTTGCCTCTACATTTCTCTGTAAAGGCATTGCTTTATGCTTCATGTTGGAGTTTCCAATCCTCAATTTGCCCATTTTAGCCATCTTTTAAGAGAAATCTCACCGTGGCTACATGGCTCTTACCTCCTGCTCCCATCCATGGTGGAATTGTAGGAATTCCTGCCTCAAACCCGTGTTGTTTCGGAGGTTTTCCTGGTGTGCAGCAGCGTGACTCCTGAGGCCTCAGGAAGGCCAGTATTTGGGTGTTAAGATGCTCCTTTCTGATGCAAACCACCTTATTTTGCATTTGTTTGGGTGGTTCTTTAGTTATTTAAATAAGCTGGAACAGGCATGGCAAAGGGCATGGAGAGAGAGCTTCCCAGGATAGCTGGTATCAGTGTTTCAGTAAATCATTGGCATATGAAAACCTGTTCCAGCCTTTCTCAGCACTTGCTGTGCAATATAAAACACTTCAGTTCAGAGGTGCTCTGGGGAAACTTAGTTGGAAGTCTTGTCTTGTTTCTCTTCCTTGTTTTTAACAGTTTTTATGAAATCACATAAAAAAAATTCATACTTTGAAGAAAATGTCTATAAAGTTTCTGAATTCTGATACTGTATATTAAACCTCTGATTTCCTCTGTCTCTAAATCAACAGCTTTTTCATTTTAAAAAGTAATCATTTGTCTGAGGTGATTTACCTTTCCCAAACCTGTGTTGACTTCCCCTATTAGATTGTACCTCTGCCACCGTGTGCCTAAGCTGTCTATAAATATCAGCTAAAATGGGTCTAATATACATGCTAGCTATGAAATTCTCAGCCTCTCTCCCAGCCTTGCCAGATATTGCCAACTTCCTTCCATAATCACTTCAGACTTCCTAAAAATGCAATATTCAGCTTGAGTAGGTAAATCCCACCCAAGCAGGTCTTTGCCTGCCTTAGGATTTGAGTCCATTGAATAATTCCCCACTGAAGTCCCCAACTGCCACCTGAATCTGCATCTCCTGCCCTCCTTCCATGGGCTCCCTGTGTCTCAGGAGCAGGGGCACAGCCTGAAGAGCCCTGACCCGACTGCACGTGTTTGTAAAGGGAGTTGCAGCACCTTAAGTGAAAGTCAGCATCAATCCTTGAAGTAAAAAGTGATCGAAAAAAGGGGCAGTTCAGTGTTTTCCTACATAAAAGCTGTTTCCTTTGAAGTGTTTATAAAAGCCTTTTGTTTTCTGAAATACAAGCAGAGCTTTTTAATAAGCCATGAGGATTTATACTGTGGCTATCTTTCTTACATGACACCAGAAAAACCTGATACATTAATGAAAATCTATCCAAAGCACTGTGGTTTTTCACCCTTGTACCGAATCACTGTGTTGTAGCACTGGCAGAAGTAATGAAAAATGCCCGAGTAGCAGCATCCACCGAGTGAGTGTCCCTTTTGCCCTTTTCCTGAAAGCACGGTTCCCCATTCAGGGCCACAGCACTGCGAGCATGGTCCAAATCCCTCGGGACTCTGTGGGTGTTCCTTCCTGCTGAAGTGGCAGGCGGTGACAAACTCAGGCTTAGTGTCACTGCAAGGGTATTCCTTACATGTCTTCATTTCTCTTCTCTCTTGTCCTTTTCCTCTCAGTCACCACCCCTGTCCCCTCCTGCCCCACCTTTACTGTGGAGGCAGATTTGGAGGCATCACTGTGGTTTCATGGCTTTGTTTCCCCAAACTTGTGGGACACCTGTTTAAAGCTGTGTCTTGGCCACACGTGCAATGCATTATTTGTAGATTTATTAACCCCTTTACCCCAGAGCAGGTGTTGTGCCCCAGTCCTTGCCTGGGCACTGGGGTGCAGGGGCAGCCCCCAGGTGCCAGCCCTGTCCCTCCTCTTTCAGCCCTGACAACATGGGGCTGCTGGACCCGGCCACCAGCGACGGCAGAGTGATCTTCTTCCTGCCCTGGGAGAAGATGACGATCGCGGGGACCACGGACAGCCCCACGGACGTCACCTCCCACCCCATCCCCACGGAGGAGGACATCAACTTCATCCTGAGCGAAGTGCGCGACTACCTGGGCCCCGAGGTGGAAGGTAACGCCGGGGCCCTGCTGGGGAGGCTGGGGAGGCTGGGGGCATCCCGGGCTGGGAGAGCATGCTGCTGCCCAGGGCTGTGCTGCTGCCCCAGGCTGTGCTGCCTGTCCCCTGCCTGTCGCACACGCTGCGCTGAGCGGTCAGCAGGAGATGCAGGGATGCTGCCCCTCAGCACCACCAGCACATCTCCCCAGCTGCCACATCCACTGGCTTTGGGCACCTCCAGGGAGGGTGACTCCGCCACTGCCCGGGCAGCCATCCTTCCTCCAGAGTCAGGGTTTGGTTTATTGAAGTGATATTCGTACTGCTGCGTTTCTGCTGCAGCACTAAAGTCTGAAAAGCACTCGGGCAGGAGCGCTGTAGCATAGGTTTAGGAAAACCTGCTGTCTGGGGATGGGAAATGAACAATTTCTCGTTTCCTGAAGTGGAGAATTGATGTCTGCATGTTGTATGAAGTTCTGAACATGTCCAGGGAAGCTCCTGTTGCGTGTCTGGAGCACCAGCTGGTGCTGGAACTGCAGGAGACCAGGGAGGGAGATGGGAATGTGAATAGGACAGAGATTAGTGGGATACTGGGAAGAAATCCCTGGCTGGGAGGGTGGGCAGCCCTGGTGCAGGTGCCCAGAGCAGCTGGGGCTGCCCTGGATCCCTGGCAGTGCCAAGGCCAGGCTGGGCACTGGGGCTAGAGCACTGGGACAGTGGGAGGTGTCCCTGCTATGGCAGGGCTGGGATGGGATGAGCTGTGAGTCTGTCCCAAGCCAGGCCATTCCCTGGTTTCCCACATATTGTCCAGCAGCACGTTCAGAAGTGTTCATTCAGTCTCTGTGGCTCAGCCCAGCTGGGCCTGTGCTGGTTTTCCTGTGCAATTGCTGTTTATAGATGGCTGGAGCTGCAATAACAGCGGCACTGCCCATATCACCCCTCGACAGCCCTGCCTGTGCTGCCAGAGGCAGTGCCAGGGTTATCAGCTTCCACAGGCTTGGACACCTTCCAGCTGCTTAATTACAGCGTCACGCGTGCTGCTTTCTGTAGTTTCATTAGTTTATAAACCTAATACAGGGTCTTGTGTCTGTGATTAACACTTCATTTTGGCAGGTTGAACACGCTGGCAGAGCACATTGATTTCGGAAATCCATTCCGTGTTCTTTGGGGGATGTTTTTTACACCCTTTTAGTGATTTTTCAATTATCGGTCATTTGAAAGTTGTATTAAAAACATGTTCCAAAGACTTCAGTATAAAGCAAATTGGTAAGTGCACTTAGGGTGAAGGCTGTGGATAAAGATGGCTTGTCAAGAGGAAATCTTGCAATAACAGCCTTCAACCTAGAGGAAAAGCTTGGAAGATCTGAAAGGAAATATTACACTCATGTAACAAAGTTTATTTTGGGTTTACAAAATGTAATGGAAGGACTGTTCAGGTTCATTGGGAAGAATTTTTGTGGAAAGGAGGGGTCAGGCTGGAGCTGCCCGGGGAGGTTTGGAGTCCCCATCCCTGGAGCTGTGCAGGGAACACCTGGCTGTGGCACTCAGTGCTCTGGGCTGGGGACAGGGTGGGCGCTGGAACCAGTTGGACTCGATGGCCTGGAGGGCTTTTCCAGCATCACTGTTCTGGGATCCCATGGCCCAGCCTACCCCGGCTCTGGGGTGCTCAGGGCCGAGCGGGGCGTGGAGCGGGACAGGGCACCCCTGGGCCCGGGCTGGCCGTGCCTGAGTGTGGCTCTGCACAGTGAGAAGAGGAGATGTGCTGGCAGCCTGGAGCGGCATCCGGCCCCTGGTCACCAACCCCGACTCCAAGGACACGCAGTCCTTGTCCCGGAACCACGTCGTGACCATCAGCGACAGCGGCCTCGTCACCATTGCAGGTACCAGGGTTCCTTCCAGCTCCAGCTCTGCTGGGCTTCCCCGGGGCACTCCCTGCAAAAGTCTTGTTCCGTGGGAATTCTTCTGCTCCGTGACTCTGTCAGTGGCACGGGCCTGGCTTGGAGCAAGCCTGGCAGCAGCCGTGTGACAATGGAGTGCACAGATGTGTCTGAGGGTGTAAAGGCTGTAAAAGCTCCTGCTGCTTCCCCACATGAGGAGGTGAGCACTGTCCCCACAGGTGGGAAGTGGACAACCTACCGTGCCATGGCCCGGGACACCATCGACGCGGCCGTGCGCGAGCACAAGCTGCAGGCAGGCTCCTGCAGAACCATGGGGCTGCAGCTGGAGGGGGCCCAGGACTGGAGCCCCACGCTCTACATCCGACTGGTGCAGGACTACGGGCTGGAGAGCGAGGTGAGCGCTGCCTCCTGCCTTGGAGGGCTTTGGTCTTCCCCTCTGTCAGGCACCAGCATTGCTTGGGCAAGGTCTGCTGAGCCCGATCAGAGCTGGGCCAGAGAGAGTTCTGACAGAAGGAAAGGCAGTAGTTGTTCATCGTCTTCCCCTTTTGTCTCCCTCCATATCTTGACCATTTCCTGCTAAAAACGCTGTGGCTTGCTGGGGTCTGTGGTCCCTGGAGCCCCCCGAGCTGTGCAGCAGCATGGTCACCGTGTGGCAGGAGAGCTGGGCTGTCAGGCCTGGTGGCACACACACAGCAGGGCAGTGCTGCTCCAGCCTCCCAGAGCACAGAGCTTCCTCCCACACCGCCACACCCCAGCACCCTTGGCAGCCTGTCTGTTACTGGGGATGAGGAATGGCCAAGGAAAATGTGTTCTTCATGTGCTTTCAAAGCATGCTGGATTTGTTTTCCTCCCCACAGGTGGCTCAGCACCTGGCTTCCACCTACGGGGACAAGGCTTTTGAGGTGGCCAAAATAGCCCAGGTGACGGGGAAGAGGTGGCCTATTGTTGGGAAACGTCTGGTATCTGAATTTCCTTACATTGAAGCTGAGGTACGTGGGGAAACCATGTCACCTTCTGTCACTATGTCCTTGGCACGAGCAGGTCGGTGGCTCTGAAACATCTCCTTGAGCCCTTTCCTTTGGGGAGGCCACGGTATTTTCTGTGCCTGTACCCGGAGCACACTTTGTGTATGGATATAGACACACATTAACATATTTGTGCACAAGTCAGTGTTTATACAGCACCTGGTTTTTACTTCATGCACAAGTGCTCGGCCCCGCTGGGGTCTGTAATGTGAGAACTTTGGGATTGATTCAGGGGTCTCGTGTGGTGGTAAAGTTTCTTCTCTAACTCGTGCTTCTAAAGAAAGACTCCGCAGCTTTTTGTGGTTTGGTCTCAAGGCAGTTTATTGCTAGCTATTTAAAACACTGTCTTTGCCTGCTGCAGCTGCTTTGGTCAGCGGCCCAGGCAGAGGCACACACTCTCCTGACACCCTCAATGCCTGGTGTCTTCTTCTCTCTCCCTGCCCAGGCCTGCTGCTATCTTTTATATGATATATTACGTATTATATGTTTATAGATTTTCTCTAATACCTACTATCTATGTTACAATGTGCTCTTTTACTCTAAACTAATCTGTGAGTGCCAACATCACTAAGAACATGGAGGTAAGGAAGAAGAAGGAGGAAGAACAGGATCAGGCTCACTTTCTTCTATCTTAGAACTCTTGACCTCTATGTATAAAGTAAAACCCCCCTGTACAGGTATTAAAACCCCCTTGTACAATACTAAAAAATTTTCCCCTCTAATTTGTGACTACTTTTACTATATTATCTAACTCTCTGTAACCGCTTGTTCCACCTTCAAAGTTAGTAATTTATTCCATGGCTCAAACTCAAGATCACAGCTGTTTTCAGCTGCTTGCCAGGGTCTAAAATGCTTTTGACTAAAGCCTGGAACTTCTGAAAATGTCTGAGGGACATTTTGAGTTCCGACACTGTAAAATGTCCCAAGGAAAGGCAGCACTGCCAGCCGTGCCATGGGGTGCCAGCCATGCCATGGGGTGCCAGCCCGGTGTCCCTGCCCCAGGTGGTGTACGGCGTGAGGGAGTACGCGCGCACGGCCGTGGACATCATCTCCCGGCGCACCCGCCTGGCCTTCCTCAACGTGCAGGCTGCCGAGGAGGCCCTGCCCCGCATCGTGGACATCATGGGCAAGGAGCTCAGCTGGTGCGAGCAGAAGAAGAAGGTATGAGGGGCCCTGTCCCGCTGCTGTGCTGTGCTGTGCTTGAGGAGCTCCCTGGTGCAGGGTCCCAGCTGCTGAATGGAGAGCTACAAGTCAGAATTGGTGCATTCCATGCTAAAGACTTTATTGTGAAATGGGTTGGGACTGGCCAGGCGTGGAGGAGAAGGGGAAGATCTGTATCCTCTTGTTCCCCAGCCTTAGAAATGAAAGCAGGCTTGGCATTGCTGTCTCATTCCTGTCAGTTATTTTGCTTTACTGACACTTTTCAACAGATCTGCCTCGGCAAAGGAAGCTCCTGTAACCATAAAGGACCTGCCTGGTCTTGAGCTCCCTGGTTTTGGACAGCTATGTGAATCATCACACTAAGATATCGAGTGGGAGACAAATGACAGCTTGTAGGCCTGGCCTCAAAAGGCCATTTCTTCCTGAAAGGGGCAGACAGACTGTGTGTGACTGAAAGTCTGGATGCTCCTGAAAACACTTACACAGAAATTAGAAGACTTTACTAGCCTGAATACCTTTTTCCTGTCTGAAAGTCTGGATGCTCCTGAAAACACTTACACAGAAATTAGGAGTCTTTACTAGCCTGAATACCTTTTTCCAAGGGTAAAAAGTGCCTAAGTTTAACTTTTTGATATTTCTCAGCTGCCATCTCTTTAATTTTGGGACCTTAGAAGAAGAACCTAGTAGTAAAGTGTAAAACAATAAATACTTGTGTAAGAGCTTGCTATTGCTCAGATGCTCAGGTTTTGTGTTCCCATTGCAGGAAGAGCTTGAAACCGCTAAAACATTCCTGTACTACGAGATGGGCTACAAGGTGAAAACAGATCAGTTAACAGATCAGTCTGAAATCAGCCTGGTGCCTTCAGATATCGAGAGGTGAGTGAGGCAGGAGGTGCCCGAGCTGCTGTCCCTGCAGCCGTGGTGCCCTGACGTGCCACCCCTCCCTGGCAGGTACAAGAAGCGCTTCCGCATGTTTGACAAGGACAAGAAGGGCTTCATCACCATCCTGGACGTGCAGCGTGTGCTGCAGGTGAGCTGCCCCTGCTGCTGGCTGCTCTGGGGCAGGGGGTGAGGCTGCTGAGCCCCTGGTGAGGCTGCTGAGCCCTGGGTGAGGCTGCTGAGCCCCTGGTGAGGCTGCTGAGCCCTTGGGTGAGGCTGCTGAGCCCCTGGTGAGGCTGCTGAGCCCCTGGGTGAGGCTGCTGAGCCCCTGGGTGAGGCTGTCGAGCCCCTGGTGAGGCTGCTGAGCCCCTGGTGAGGCTGCTGAGCCTTTGGGTGAGGCTGCTGAGCCCCTGGGTGAGGCTGCTGAGCCCTTGGTGAAGCTGCTGAGCCCCTGGGTGAGGCTGTCGAGCCCCCGGTGAGGCTGCTGAGCCCTTTGGTGAGGCTGCTGAGCCCTTGGTGAGGCTGCTGAGCCCCCGGTGAGGCTGCTGAGCCCTTGGTGAGGCTGCTGAGCCCTTGGGTGAGACTGCTGAGCCCCCGGTGAGGCTGCTGAGCCCCTGGTGAGGCTGCTGAGCCCTTGGGTGAGGCTGCTGAGCCCTTGGGTGAGGCTGCTGAGCCCCTGGTGAGGCTGCTGAGCCCCTGGGTGAGGCTGCTGAGCCCTTGGGTGAGGCTGCTGAGCCCCCAGTGAGGCTGCTGAGCCCTTGGGTGAGGCTGCTGAGCCCTTGGGTGAGGCTGCTGAGCCCCTGGGTGAGGCTGCTGAGCCCTTGGGTGAGGCTGCTGAGCCCTTGGGTGAGGCTGCCGGGCCCTTGGGTGAGGCTGCTGAGCCCTTGGTGAGGCTGCTGAGCCCTTGGGTGAGGCTGCCGGGCCCTTGGTGAGGCTGCCGAGCCCCTGGTGAGGCTGCTGAGCCCCTGGTGAGGCTGCTGAGCCCCTGGTGAGGCTGCTGAGCCCTTGGGTGAGGCTGCTGAGCCCTTGGTGAGGCTGCTGAGCCCCTGGTGAGGCTGCTGAGCCCCCAGTGAGGCTGCTGAGCCCTTGGGTGAGGCTGCTGAGCCCTTGGTGAGGCTGCTGAGCCCCTGGTGAGGCTGCTGAGCCCCTGGTGAGGCTGCTGAGCCCCCTCCTCCTGCTCCTTCCCTGCAGAGCATCAGTGTGCAGATGGACGAGAACACCCTCCACGAGATCCTCAACGAGGTGGATCTCAACAAAAACGGGCAGGTGGAGCTGAACGAGTTCCTGCAGGTAGGTGCCTGCTGTGCTGCCAGCCAAGGCTGGATTTCAAACAGCCAAGTCCAGCTGGGGAGCTTTTCCCCTTGCTTGGGGCTGGGCTGGAGGCCAGGGGAGCATTACCTGTGTGGTGGAGCTGGTACCAGGGGCACACAGAGCATCCTCAGCAGCTTGGAAATTCAGGGGTTTTTCCAGTCAGACTCAAAGAACAGGCCCAATTTACAAAGTATGCCCCAGTCCAGACATGAATTTGGTATTTTAAGCCCAGAAATGCTGTTTAAATGTATTTAAGATTATACAGGTGTCCGTTGGAAGGTGCCTGGCAGAGGTGTGCACACTGACATTATCTGCAGCTGTTAAGGGTTGTTACAAAAATGAGCAAACTAAGAAACTGGATAATAACTAAGTAACCAAATATTTATAGTGATAAATATTAATATAACTATAATAATGATAAGCTAAATAAGTGAATAATGAACTGAATATTGTAAAGAATGAGATTGTAGTTAGAACCCATGCAGGCCCTATAACCCATTTTCATTCCTGAATTGGCTAAATTGTCTCAGTTTCTCTGAAAAAAATGACATGCATCTGCTTTTTGGGGGGCTTTTAAGCAAACCCAAGGGTGCTCCCTTTGCATATGCAGTTTGTCAGCTGGGCTGGTGTTTGAGGAGTCTTTTTTGGGGTGGTATTTCAGAGCCTGCCATGTCTCCCCTGCCCGGTGGCAATGATGAATGCCAAACAGGAGAGAAATTAATGCTGGGGATTTTGGTCAATGTCAGCCCTTTCTTCACTGTGTCAAGTTAAACAAACAAGATCAAGGCAAAGGAAATGGTAATTGTCTCTCTGGAGATGAGCTGGGGATAAGAGCAGCATTGTTGAATCTAAATGCAGAAAATTTTCACAGGTTGTGTCCAGCATTAGCAAAAAGGAGTATTTATTTGCCTAAAATGCAGCAATTGAGCTGAGGAGCTGCGGTGAATTTGGAGGAAGGGGAAAAACCAAACCAAACAAGCCAGGGGGAAAGGAGGACCAGTGGCTTTGGGAGTTTATGCTGATCTGTTCAAATGGCAGAGCACAGCCCAGCTGGGTTCTGTCTGCTGAAGGGACACCCTCTCACTGGGCAGCCCAGCCCTTTCTGCAGGGCTGAGCTAGCTGGAGTTGGGTTAGGTTGGGTACAATGGCAGGAATTGCTGTTCTGTGGGCTTTGGGGGCGTTCTGGGCTGTTCCTGCTACGCTGACCAGCCTCCCCAGGGACTGCCAGCCCTGCATCATCCCACAGATGCCAAGGCCAGGCAGTGCTTAGGAGCATTTCAGGGTAGTCTGTGCAAACCTGTGGCACCCCGTGGCTCCTGCACATCTCCCAGAGCAGCAGTGATGGGGATGCCTTCTGCAGGCTGCCCTACAACAAGGCTGGACAGAGCCACAGAACAAAGCAGGCATTTATTAAAGGATTTATTAAATTTATCTCCTCCATGGATCCACCTTGGGCAGCACCAGAGCCCAGCCAGGGCTGCACCCAAATGACCCAAAATGGCCCCAAAATGCACAAACGCTCCCGGGGGCTCTCCCTGGGATCAGTTCTGCTCCATTGGCACCTTGGAGTTCATTGTCCCATTCCAGCTTTATCCCACCCTGCTTGTTTTTCTCTCTCCAGCCCACGGTGTTTGTGCTCCTGGGCTGAGATTTGGATCATTTGGGTGCCCAGCTGGAGCAGGAATTGTTTTGTCTCCCTGCTCTGTGCACAGAGCTCAGCACCACTGAATGTGAAGCTCAGAGCTGCACACCAAAGCAGCACAGAGCCTGGAAAATAGAAATGTTGAACCCTGAGGCATCAATGGCCCTGCAGGGCTGAGCCCTCTCCTGTGCCTTGCACTGCTCCAGGGAAGCACTCAGTGCTAAGCAGGAAGGTGCCACTGAAATGAACTGGGGTTGCCATGGCAGGAGCAAAATACATTAGATGTTTGTTTAATTTTTTAATGGATCTGTTAAGTCAGTGCCCAATACTTGAGTGTTTGCCTTCTGAAAACTTTCAAGTAATTGCGTTTCAGAGCAGAACTTGTGCAAGCCCTGGGCAAATATTTGTGGAGGTTTGTGTTGGAAAATGGAGCAGGTAGTGCCTGGGGGCTGCTGGCTTGCAGGTGGGAGCAGAGCAGGGCCAGCCTGGGCCACCAGCACGTGCTCAGGGGCTGGCAGAGAGTGGCCTTGGCAGGGTCAAGTGGCCAGGCCATGTTCAGTCGGGAGGAATCATGCAATGCCAGCCTGGGTTGGGTGGGAAGGGCCTTGAAGCCCATCCTTTGCTCTAAAGCTCACTGCCCCAGGCTCTGGCAGGCTGCTGGCCCAGAGGCAGTGCTCTGCTGCTGGCACATCCCTGTGTGCACACGCCTGGCCTCCTCCCTGTGCCTCTGGAGCTGGCCACACCACATTTGCACAGGTCCAGCTGCAGGGGTAACGAGCAGCTTCTCCTATAGGGGAAGGACTCTGAGGGTTCCTGCAGTCAGCACGAGTCAGAAATTGCATTTGGCAAGTGCCAATCGCTTCCCCAGCGCTCTCTGCAGAGCTGGCTGCAGGTAATCTCAGCTCTAATGCTGAGATTCTAATGCTTTTTTATCCATGGGATAAAAAAGAATTAACTAAAATCTTAGCACTAGTGTGCTCTCACAGTGTGAGAGAGAAGAGTCCAGCTTCCAGGACTTAGAGGCAAATTAGTTTTAAAAGTCTATAAAGGAATTTGGATTTGAAAGAATTGTGGGAGTCAAGTGCAGTGTCTCTCCAGAGAAAGGCGTGTGGGTGGAAGAGGGCAGGTCTGGGATCAGTGATGGATCAGGAATCATTAAATCCCTGCATGATGTGGGCTGGCAGGGACCCTAAAGCTCATCTGCAAGCCAGGGCCAGGGACACCTTCCACCAGATCAAGGTGTTCCAGCCTGGTCTGGGGCACTGCCAGGGATCCAGGGACAGCCACAGCTTCCCTGGGCACTTGTGCCAGGGCCTGCCCACCCTCATTGAGAACAATTCCTTCCTAAATGGAAAAAAATCCTGGCTCTTGTGTGAGCTGCGCCCTTCAGATACTACATCAGATATCAGGAATTACAGAGAAAGCCTGTGTGCCTGCTGGGCTTCCCCCACTCTGAGGTGTCACAGAGGAGCCCCCAGTGATGGTGGGGTCTGCACTGGTGGTGTCTGCGCTGGTCCAAGTGCATCATGTTTGGTACTTGCCCTCCTCCTGCCACCCAGGCCTGTCCCGGGCAGGCTCTGACAGTCCTGGGGGCTGCGAGTGAGCCTGGGGCAGCCTCTGGGGCTGCAGCTGGGGTTTGCAGTTTGGGTTTGCAGGTTGGTTAGCAGTTGGGGTTTGCAGTTTGTTGGGGTTTGCAGTTCAGGTTTGCAGTTTGGGGTTTGCAGGTTGGGTTTGCAGGTTGGTTTGCAGTTTGGGGTTTGCATTTTGTTGGGGTTTGCAGTTGGGGTTTGCAGTTTGGGGTTTGCATTTTGTTGGGGTTTGCAGTTGGGGTTTGCAGTTTGGGGTTTGCAGCTGGGGTTTGCAGTTTGGGTTTGCAGTCTGTTGGGGTTTGCAGTTCGGGTTTGCACTTTGGGGTTTGCAGTTTGGGGTTTGCAGTTTGTTGGGGTTTGCAGTTCAGGTTTACAGTTCAGGTTTGCACTTTGGGGTTTGCACTTTGGTTTGCAGTCTGTTGGGGTTTGCAGACTGTTGGGGTTTGCACTCTGTTGGGGTTTGCACTCTGGGGTTTGCACTCTGTTGGGGTTTGCAGTTTGGGGTTTGCAGTCTATTGGGGTTTGCACCGTTGGGGTTTGCTCTGTTGGGGTTTGCACTTTGGGGTTTGCACTTTGGGGTTTGCACTCTGTTGGGGTTTGCACTCTGGGGTTTGCACTGTTGGGGTTTGCACTTTGGGGTTTGCACTTTTGTTTGCACTCTGGGGTTTGCACTCTGGGGTTTGCACTTTTGTTTGCACTTTGGGGTTTGCACTCTGGGGTTTGCGCCCTGGGAGCCCAGGCGCCTGGCTCCCTGCTCCGCGCTGTCCCCGCGGTGCCTGGCAGCCCCTGAGCCGCTGTCCCTGTCCCAGCTGATGAGTGCCATCCAGAAGGGCCGCGTGTCGGGCAGCCGGCTGGCCGTGCTGATGAAGAGGGCCGAGGAGAACCTGCGCCGCCAGGCCATCCCCGTGGACCGCAGCGGCGGCGGGCTCTGAGCCGGGCACTGCCCAGAGACTGCCCGGTGTCCTGTGCCGCGGTTCCTGCTGCCCTGAGACTGCCCCGAGACTGCCCAGTGTCCTGTGCCGCGGTTCCTGCTGCCCAGAGACTGCCCCGAGACTGCCCAGTGTCCTGTGCCGCGGTTCCTGCTGCCCAGAGACTGCCCGGTGTCCTGTGCCGCGGTTCCTGCTGCCCCGAGACTGCCCTGAGACTGCCCGGTGTCCTGTGCCACAGTTCCTGCTGCCCAGAGACTGCCCGGTGTCCTGTGCCACGGTTCCTGCTGCCCCGAGACTGCCCTGAGACTGCCCGGTGTCCTGTGCCACAGTTCCTGCTGCCCAGAGACTGCCCGGTGTCCTGTGCCGCGGATCCTGCTGCCCAGAGACTGCCCGGTGTCCTGTGCCGCGGATCCTGCTGCCCAGAGACTGCCCAGAGACTGCCCGGTGTCCTGTGCCATGGATCCCTGCTGCCCACTGTCCTGGCACACCGGGTAAGGGCTGCAGGGCGCTGGGCACGCTGCCCGGGCACCACCTTCACCCTGCGAGCTCACAGGGATCCTAAACCTCTGCCAACACGACATCCCCGAGCTGCTGCTGCCTCCCCAGCGAGCAGCCAGAGAGGGAAAGCTGTGTTCTGCAGTGGGGACACCGTCCCAAAGAGCACGTCCTGGGGTGAGCTGCTGCTCTGCCCTGAGCCCGCTGTGCCTGCTAGCTGTGCCCTGGTACTGCCAGCACTTGGCCTCTCGGAAATTCCAGCTGGAAAACAGACACCTGCACTAATCACCCGAGGTAATAACGTCGCTGAAAGCTGGGCACAGCTTCCCTTCTCCCCTGTTAACACAAATAAACTGCCTCTAATAAATGGCATTGTCTGCAGGTGGTGCTTTGTGCAGTGAAGTAAAGGCAAAAGGTGTTTTATGCTAAAAAGAGCTTCAAGCTTGGGTCAAACCCTGATGGGGCAGGTTTTGGTAGCACAACACTGTTAAATATTAACTTAAAAATGCTCAGACACAGTGGAAAAAACAAAGTGTATGTCTTGCATCCTACTAACCTTTCTGGAAGGAAAGGCTGTTTTTCAGCAGGCTCGATGGAAAACCAAAGCCTGGAGCCCTCACTGGAGCTGTGGCAGCGCTGCTGTACCTGCCTGGTGTCCTCCTGCTGCTGGGCTGGGCTGAGATCAGCTGGGAGGTTGCTGCCTGGTGTAGAGCAAGGCAGTGAAACCTGGTTTTCTGCTGGATTTGGCATCTGCTGTATTCCCTGAGCAGAGCAATTTCCACCTCAAACCGAGCTTCACTTCCCAGGGGTCGGAATTTCTGCTGAAGTAAAATTTGATGTATCTAACTGGTATCACCACGTCCACTGATGGAAAATAACATCCATCAGGGGTACCCAACAGGGCAGGAGTGAACAGCAAAGATTCCTTGGATAATCTAACGAGGAAAATGGCTCCAGACACAACTGGAGATGCTGAGGAGTGCTGGGATATAGCACAGTGAGTGCAGATGCTGGCTTGGGCTGCAGAAGCAGAGCCCTTAAAAAAAACCCATTAAACATTCAGGTGTTGAAAAACAGTAGATACAAAAGAAAAGGGTAAGACTCACCTGAAATGAGTTCCTGGAACAGTTCAGATGGGTTTTGCATGTGCAGTTTGCTTTTTGCTGCAGATGTGGTTCAGGTTCTGGCTCTGTGCTTGGAGCAGGGGCTGGGGAAGGGGGAGTTGGCACATCTGACACCGCCAGGATGTTTTAATGAGCAAAGGGCTTTGTTCCTGTGGTCCTGCAGGCTTTTCCTTCTGAGCTCTGTTCCAGAATGTTCAGGTGAAGGATGGAATGTTTGTGTTCAAAGCACAGTAACAGCTTTACGTGTCCTGCACAATGGAGGGAAGTGGATGTATAGCACACGGTAATTTTGGCTCAGTGGGCCAGGGAAGGGGTTCAGGATTCTACTGTTAACAGAAGTGTAAGGGGAAAAAAAACAAAGTAAAAGTCATGAGACCTTCTCCAGGCCAAGTGAAGAAAAAAATATTTCCAATGTTGAACAGGTTTTTTGTAAAAAAAAAAATATTTTCACTATTGACCAGTTTTTGTACAGTTTAAAGAAAAGTTCTCCACTGGCGTTGTTAAGATATAACCTGAATTTACCTGGAAAGCAGGATTTCTGTGTTGTACCCAAAGTATGTTCTTTGTTCTCTTGTTTTGCTAATCTTGCATCTGGGATGTGGCTGTGGGTTCTCCTGGCTGTGTGTGTCCCAGGACATGGATCTGCTTTGTGTCTCAGGCTTGTGTCAGCTCCTGCTCCCCCAGCAGTGCAGGGCAGCTCCCCACCCGTGTTCATTTATCCCCTGCTCTGTCTGCAGGAGCGCTGCCTTTGCTCTGTGGGGTTTCATGTGGATGTTCTGTGGCAAGCGTTGCATGATGTCACTGTGCTGATCTGGGACGGAAAAGCAGCTGGGACTGTGTGTGTGTGTGAAGGTTTCTGGGTTTTCTGTGGGTATTTTGTGCTGTAATAAGGTGCCCTGTGGGGAGGGGGATCCTTGCAGTGTCTGGGTGTGTATAAATACGTGTACAGACACGCTGCAGCCTTCCACGTGGCGCTTGTTGTCAGGTTCCTCTTGCAGCCCGGGCTGTTCACGGCTGTGTTTGAAGCTGGGTTGTCATTTTTACAACTGTCTCGGTGTTTTCCTGCCATTATTTATTACCTTTGATATCTGGAATGAGCCGCATGCGTTTATTGAGCAATAAGAGGATGTATTTAATGTGCCTTGTTTTTACCTGGGTAAGGACTGAAAGCATGACTCAATAAAAGTGGCTAAAAAAGCTCCTTTTGCTGGCAGTTTGTCGTGGCAGTGCACAGATACCTCGGAGTCGCCCTGGGGAGGTTTCTCTGGAGGGGGAGGTGGGATGGGTGGGTTTGGGGAGCAGAGCCCAGTTTCCAGCACCTTCCCCTCTCAGCTCAGAGCTGAGTGCTCTGCAGTGTGGGAGTGAGCAGCGAGTGCAGCCTTGGCTCTGCAGTGGCAGTGGCAGTGGCAGTGGCAGGTGAGCAGCCCTGCCCTGCCCTGGGGCTGCAGTGGAGCAGCCTCGGTGTGTGATTTCTGCATTTCCTCCTGGATTCTCCTCCAGGAGCCCCCACACACAGCTGGGATTGGTCCTGACCCAAAGCAGCGCCAGGGAGGGGAGAGGTTTCCCAGTCCCCTGGGCTGCCAGGAGTGTCCCAGCAGAGCAGATCCATTTTCCCTGCCAGGGAGTCACAGCTCCATTACAGTGTGAGCACAATCCTCACCATCCCCAGATAATTTCTGGGTTAATTCACACTTGTGGCAGGGATCCTGCGCAGCTGCCACGGAGCTGTGCTGATGTGCAAGCAGCTCCCTGCACGTGGGACGGACCAGAGGAGGGGAACCACAGAGATTATGGATTTTCCCCTAAGCCACGGCGTGTAAGTGATAAGGTAAAGAATGTTTGCTGTGATCAGCTTTATCCCAAATACTTTGCAGGACTAGAATTGCCTCGTGTCAAGCTCTTGGCTTTGCTGCTGGAAGGCACAGGAGTGTGGGGCCGGTCCCTTCCTCTGCTGCCTCCCCAGCGTGGTCAGAAATCCGGATTTATTGCCCTGGTGTGGCTGCTGCAGCCTGGTTAGAATGGGATGGGGAATACCAAAGCAGCATTGATATCTCAGCCTTGGTGTGTCCCGTGCCAGCTGGGAGCTGATGGCAGCGGGGGGACAGGCCACCTGTGGGGCCGTGGCCGTGCTGCTGGGACAGCTCTGTGCCCCTGGACGGGCCAGGATCGCACACCTGCACTGCCAGGTGAGCAGGGATCACACACCTGCACTGCCAGGTGAGCAGGGATCACACACCTGCACTGCCCAGGTGAGCTCTGTGCAGGGATTACACACCTGCACTGCGCAGGTGAGCAGGGATCACACACCTGCACTGCCCAGGTGAGCAGGGATCACACACCCTGTGTGCCCAGGTGAGCTCTGTGCAGGGATCACACACCTCCATGGCCCAGGTGAGCAGAGGTTGGATCACACACCTCCGTGGCCCAGGTGAGCTGTGAGCAGGGATTGGATCACACACCTGCACTGCCCAGGTGAGCCGGGCAGCCCCTGGCAGGACCCACCCCTCCCTGCCCGGTGCCTTTACCTGCCGGCCCGGGATCCAGGGACGTGCCACCGCGGCGGGTCCCGCCGTGTCCCCAGGGCCGTGGTCCCGTCCCCGCCCAGAGCAAACCCGGGGCTCCGCTGCCCTTCCGTCCCTTCCCCAACTGCCGCTCCGTTTATTTTGCACAGATTCATTTATTATTTTTGCATCTCTCCAATTAAGTGATTTGCAATTCATTCCTATGCAAGCGGAGCTGTTCCTGTCCAAGTCGAGGAGCTGTAAATCTTGGATCTATTGAGCTGACAGGGGAATGTATTTCATTTTTCCCCATGAATCATTTGCCATCCTTATTGCAGAAAAATGGCAAAATTATGGTGTACTGTGTTTTCATAAATTACTGCTTTTCTCTCCCCCCCTGCACTCCTCTAATTTGTAATTTCCTGGGAGGAAGAGGAGTGTGGGAGCCTGGAGTAGCCAGGTGAAAATGGCTTGTTTCTCCCTGAATTGTCTGAAAAGCTGCTCATCCCTTTTAAATTGTGCATGGAACAACTAATAAAGATTTCATGTGAATTTAAAAACTGATTATTGCTGCTGAAGTTCTCTTGGTGTTAAGAGATTCTCCAGTTAAACTGTTGTAGGAAGGAGGGAGCAGTAAGCGGGAATACTTTACTGGGAATTTTTCCCCCTTTCCTTTAGATTTCTGCTTCCCTGCATCAAAATCTTGTGAACCACAGAAAGGTCAGGATTTTTCTGCTTTAGGAATGTAAAAAAAGTCCTCATCTAGAACCCTATAGCTCGCAGAACAGCATTTAAAGCCTTACCCATAATATTTATTTTGAAATCCCAGAAATATATATGCATTTTCCACTTGAGGCTGAGCTGGGTGGCCAGTTCTAATTAGTGACTCATTGCATCAGCAGAGGAGATGGTTTATCCCCCATCTTCTCTTGGAGCCAAGTTCTGCCTGGTTAAAAAAAAAATACAAAAATGTTCATCACAGTAAGCTGTTAAATTGTTTTCAAAATTGGCCATTTTTTAAATGGAGCTTATCCAGCTCTGGCAGTACTTCAGGTTGCACTGAACCATTAAATAAAAACCAGAGACAAAGCGCCTTTGAAAAGGGTTAATTAGTTTTAATATTGATTTATTCCATATAGGGCAGTAATAGACTAGAACACTTATTTCTGTTTTGGATCACTAAAACAGTCCTTCGTTCCCGAACAGTTTGTTTCTAATAAATAAATTTTTAAAATAAGACCAATTAGAGTAATTGGAGGTAATCCGCGATGTTGGCTGTTTTTTCACAAAGGTGTAAAATGTTGATTCCTGTTGATTTCTGCAGAGGTTTGGGGTTGCACGGATGGATCCTCGGGGATGCCCAGCCTGGTCCCCGGGCGGCAGAGCGAGGATGAGGAGGATGCCGAGCGGAGCATCCCCGCTCCGTCCTGCTCGGGGGGCGGCTCCGGGTCCCTCCTCGGCTCCGGGTCCCTCCTTGGTCCCGGGTCCCTCTGTTCCCGAGTCCCTCTCGGTTCTGTCCCCAGCGCTCCTCTCCGGGCCGCGGCCGCCGCGCTCGCCCTGTCCCGGTCCCGTTCCGAGTCCCGTTCCCGTCCCGTTCCCGTCCCCATCCCCGTTCCCGTTCCCGTTCCCGTCCCCATCCCCGTTCCCGTTCCCTGTCCCCGTCCCCCGTTCCCGTCCCCATCCCCATTCCCGTCCCCGTCCCCGTCCCCGTCCCCGTCCCCGTTCCCATTCCAGTCCCCGTT